ATATTATTGTTATGAATTTTCCAGTTCAATAACCATACAAATAAGGCTGAAGCTAATACATCCGGCCCTGTTATTTTTTCAGTCATGTATACATGAATATGGTTAACGTACCTTTCTTTTTTTTACTGCGTTAAATAACAATTAAAAGTAATACGGTTATACAATTTTTGACTTGCATCTTTACATAAGGCACTGGCATTTTAACATAAGGTAAAAATTAATTTGAGTAAAGCCAAGAATAAGCGTAAAGCAAAAATACAAACACAAGATAATTTGATTTGGTCTATCAATATATTTTAGCAGAATATCGCTGTCATCGTTGTGTAGTTCTTTTATGATAACATGTGCAGTAAATATTTTACGTGTTAATTTTAAAACCTTTACAATCAAATCCATGTGTGGTGAAAAGAAAACAAATTGGATTTAAGCTTAGGATAATATGATTATGACACAATGCACAGGTAAGATGTCTACATGTACTTATAGTTTTTTTGATTTTACCGGTAATACTGATTTCTAAAAATAGATTGATTTGAGGTTAACAATTAGGACATTACAATGTAAATAAACACAGTCACGTGTATAGATGACAGTTTTGTATTTTCTACGGATATGTTGGTGTGTAGATTCCTGGTTCTTCACCGGCTCTGATTTTTTCAATGGAGTCCATGTTTTTGATGTGAACTTTTATTTCATTATCACCCTTTTTCATAGTTCCATATATGTTAGCACCGGCAACCCATGTTTTCAGCAGTTTTCCTTCTCTTTTAAGTTTTCTGGCTTCGTACCCTATCTGCTCTCTCCTTCTCGTCAGAGAGTCTTGTACGAATATGCCACTCGGAAGTGATTTCCTTGCATTGTAGAGCCTCTGTCGAGCTTTTGAGTTCGTAAATTTTACGATAACTCGTCTGTTAACTGTAACGTCACTTCTCCACTTTCCCAACCGATGGACTTTGTCTATATCATTTTCAATTAGATTCAAGTCAATCTTGTTTGCATACTCTAAGATCTTTCTTTCAACGTTTTCGTAAGCATCTCCTGTGTCACCAGGGATCCCGGAAATGTCCAGCATCATTCGTCGGCCATACTGCTCAATGTCATCATTTGCTTTGTTAGCAGTTTTTACACAATTACGAAGAAATTTTACTTCGTCACGTAGCTGGGAAACCTCTTCCCTTAGAGCTCGTGTTTTTGTTTCAACAATTTGTTCAAATTCAGCTTTTAGGTCCTGGATGAGGTCAATTTTTAATTTTGATATGACTTCTTCTAATTCTTTTTTTGAACACATTTTGCTAGGATTTGAGTCAAAATCTGAATCGCAGTCTGATATATCACAATGTAAAGGAGAATTGAGTGGAGTAAAATAGTTTTCGCCAAAACGTCCTGTTTCCGTTTCAGTTTCGATTATTTGCTTTAATTTGTATCTTTTTTGTGTATTTTCTTGTCTATTATCTTTACTTGCCTGGTTTGGAGACGATTTATTTCTTTTTCGCTTTACTTTACCTTTTCCAGGCATCGGGTGTTGTACTATTCATTCGAAGATATATATTTATATATATATATTGAAAGAATATTGTAAGAATATTGTTAAAGTTATTGTGTGGAAATTTTCAATTATTTTTACACACAAAAGAAACATTGATCATTAGTCAGTGGGTGGGGTGGGCACTGCTTTGATTTGTGTATATAAATGTATACCGTGCTATTAATCCATTATAAGTCCATTATAAATCCTCCATACACAGTTGATAAATATCACTTTCAACACATTATCCAAGATTTTCCCCACAAAAACAGCAGTTAATTCATGAAAAACATTTTTTACCACACAAAAATATGCGCCATTATTTTTTTAAATACCGGAAGTGGCATGAACCGTAGCTTCACCTGGGCTCTGCCTGGATGATCCGGAGCGCATCCGTGGCGGTTGGTTGGGAACTACCGTAGTACTGCCGGGGTAAGTGTGGCCGCAACAATAATTTCATCCCGGATCATCCCGGTACTTACCGGGATGGTCCTGGGCTCTGGAGAAGGCTAGGATGCTATAGTTCATGCATGCCTTACATTACTTCTGTGTTATTCGGGACTAATTGTGCCATATTTAGATTAGCTACATGAGATAAATTAAAGAATGCTTCTGTTTGATTATAAATGTGTATTTTGGGTACCAATCTAAGTTCAGGATCATGAACTATTATTATCATTATGCACTATAGTTATAAAAGTAAAATAATGATAATCATAATCATTGTCACTGATACATACTTCGCATTTTAAATACGATGTAATTAACATTTTTTTCTAGTATGATCGTTTATTCAAGTCTCTCAATTTGTATTTTGTCACAAACCCAAAATGTTCTATAATACATGTATGTGTATATAAACAAACATCCTTCTGATAACACTTTGATCTTGCATTGCTGCTGTTTACTATATTACTTGTATTAATTTATACCAATCTGCCCCTTATTAACGTTACACTAAGGATCTGACGGGCACTAACAGTAGGTCACCTCGTAACCCTTTAAACTGCCAATCATTGGTAAGCTTTCACAATTTTGAAAGTGGAGCAGTTTCTTATTTTAATCGCTTGAAAACTAATACAGAGTAGGTAATTTTTATTATTACTAGAACAGACAAGGCGTTATCTATATAGCCCGCAGCTAAACAGGCAAAACAATCTTGCATATTTGTTTCAAATTACTTCAATCATTTTGTTTTTTCAACAAAAATGAACAATTTGTTTTTACGAACAAAAAAGAACAATTTGTTTACCTCCATTTAAAGCAAATAAACTGTATAGACAGAGATACTTTGTCTAATGCCTATCTGTAAAGGACAGTTTAATTGAATGGCTTAAAATAAGCTTTCCCGGGAAATACAAATCAAAATGAAGGTGAAACAAATACGGTGGCAATCAGATCTACATGCAAGAAATAACGTAAGTTCATCTGATCTTTAACTTAATAGGTATATGCAGTTACAGTGAATTTGTTTGGAAGTCAAAATACCACTTTGTTAACATTTTTCTACTTTTATTAGCTCGACTATTCAATATGGTTGGAACAATATATCAAATTATTTGTGAGAACCATTTTATACATTTTAAAATACTGCTTAAACTGACTTTAAAATAACTTAAAATGTAACATTATGAAGAGTTATTCTCTTACATTGACGTTATAACATTAAATAACAATTTATATCGTTAATGTTTTTAATTTTTTGTCAATTTGCAAACATTTGATCACTTAGACTTTTTTCGCATTCAGTTACTGTAGTATACACAGTTTCAGCATTGAATTCGAAAAAAGTCTAAGTGATAAAAATACATGAAAATACGCAAAAATGATATTATTTTATTATCGGTACTACTTTTATCAACAGTTATTATTTTAAAACATACTTAAAAACTGAAAATGAAATACTGCTTATATTTTTTGTCACTTAGACCATCACATTTTTTTTAAATAATTGCGAAAAAAGTCTAAGTGACAATGTTCACTTAGACCTTTTTCGCATTGACTGTTTTTCACATTTCACTTAGTCTTTTTTCGTATTTTTTAAATATATATAAAAATGAATGTGTTGTGTTCAAGATTTTTTTCACAGAAGATGTATATACAGATTTTAAACACATTTATATAAAAAAGTGATTTTCTGAAAAAATGTCACTTAGACCTTTTTCGCTTTCACCCCTCGATATATTAAACATAATTTTCATCACCCGCTTATCATTAAATTATAATAAACATGTCTTAATAATAATACATGTAATAATAATAATAATAAAAATAATAATAATAATAATAAGAAGAAGAAGAAGAAGAAGAAGAAGAAGAAGAAGAAGAAGAAGAAGAATATTTATCATCAACAACAACATCAAAATCACCAAAGTCATCATCACGTCTTTTTTAAATCTTATCTAAATGATCATCATCATCACCACCACCATCAGCATATCATTATTGAGCTATATTTTGAGAGTTGTATATGGCGTACATGTAACACAGCTACAAATCAACTAATTGGCGATTTACCTCAATACATATAAGAAACAAATGTATGGTAAGAAATAGAAAGTGAACACCAAAATTACGGATTACGTGTATGCTACTTGTAAGAATTATTAACATTCTTAAAATTTTAATTTGTTCACTTTTTGGCGCTAAAAGCTCTCGCGTCACGTTAACGTCGCCGCCTTTTTAGCGACGTCACGGACGGCAGAGTTTTCCGGAAGTTACATAAAAAGATTACAAACAAGTTTATTTTTGAAGACATTAACGGTAGCGATATTTGATGTAAAATATTATTATTACAGTAAATATTCAGGATTGAAGAAATTAATTAAATTGACAGGACACCATTGTTGAGAATCGCTACGCTACGCATAGCTACAATTATATGAACTTTGTAGATGTGAAATAAACGAAATTACAAGATTGCAGCGCATTTCTTACTTGGTTTTCTGAATCCTGAACAATTCTCAACATTGTCGACCATATATCGCTAAAAGAAAATAATGGACTACGATACTGCACGGAAATCGCGGACAGCGCATTTGGCACAGTTAACCAAGATTTATAGAGAACTTGAAGAGTTGATGTTAACCACTGAAAATGAGCAAAAAGTAAAAGTATTGTTTAAAGATCCTGTATGTTTTGTGATTGATATTGTTACTGTATGTATCATACACTTGGAAAATGTTATATATGTATATAATTATGCAAATAAAACAATTTTCAAACATCCAAGTATATGTAAAATGTGTACTGCAAATATTTGTGCACATTATATTTAACTAATAAGTTACATGCATTCATTTCTTATTGGAAAATTTGACTTGGAATTTATAGAAAATAAATTTCTAATTACCTCCCTTTATATACGCAAAATGTTAAATTGGGTAATATCTTTATAAATAATGCTTATTTGAACTTACAAGATTGACAAATCTTAATTTGAGCATCATATTTTTGAAATAAAACCATGAAAAAAATGTGTTACAGGATCTTTAATCGACTGTGCGAAAGATACGAAAAATTTAAAACAACACACTTTGAAACTATAGAAACACTAAAGAAGAACTTTGAAAGTTGCCGAGCGAACTTTATAGAATTCAAGGAAAGATATGCCGAATGGAATCCCGTAGCATTAATACCCAGTAGTGCAGTTTCATCAACAACTCGGCTAAGAAACGCAAAAGTTAAGCGTCTGATAGCTGAACAAAAACTTAAGACTCTTAAAGAAAAACAAGCTTTGGAGAAGGAGAAACTGCGATTAGAGGCAATACAGAAGGAGCTTAAAGATAAATCGCAACTACTGGATCAAGAAAGTGCTGTGATGGAAGCGAGGCTGGAGGAGTCAATGTGGGCAGACGAAAGCACGGTGATAGAAGCAGACAACATATTAGAAGATGGGCATATTGTGCAGAAAACTATGGATTTTGGACATACTTATCGAAATGATAATGTAGCCGATAGCAATACGGCACGTTATTCTCGTGCTTGTCCCGGTAAAGATCCCGAGGCTGCAGACGCACGTAAGTTCGAAGATGTAACGCAGCAAGATGGCGGAAATAGCGCTTCCGGTTTAGAAGTGGAACGACTTGCATCAATCATTCAAGAAGGATTTAATTTACCAAAACCAGAGTTACTGACATTCAACGGTTCTGCGCTTGATTATTGTAAGTTCATTAAAAATTTTGAGACCAACACTGAGTGCAAAGTAAGTGACAATAGGTTAAGATTATGTTATCTAATACAATATTGCACTGGTGAGGCAAAATCTTGCATAGAAGATTGTGTGTTATTGGATTCAAATGTAGGGTATAACCGAGCTAAATCAATTTTGCAATCTCGTTATGGTAGGCCACATGTTGTTGCGAGAAGTCATATTGATAAATTGTTGCTTGGCCCTAATATTAATGCATCTGATGTTAAAGGATTGTCTCAATTAGCTTTAGATATGCAAAAATGTCAAATGACACTTTCACAACTAGGGTTTGTTTCTGACATAGATAACTCTGAGAATTTAAGGCGCATTGTAAGACGTCTCCCTATGCATTTGAGATCAAGATGGGCAAAGGTAGCCCACTCTATTTTTGAGTCAGGGAGAGAAACCTAATTTCTTTGAATTGACCAAATTTATTGATGAAAGGTCACGTGTTGCTAGTTCAGTTTACGGCATTGATGTTGTAAAAGAAAATGTCCGAGAAAATAAAGCGTCTGCGTCAGGAAATACCACAAAAGGTAAAAATAACTACTCTGTCTACATACACAGAAAACCAAACGTCAAAATACAGTAGAAAATGTTTTTGTTGTTCAGGTACATGTTCGAATTTATCTTTATGTGATAAATTTAGAAAATTGTCTTTAGAAGATAGGAACAGGTTTGTCATAAAATCTAAATTGTGTTTCAATTGCCTCAAACCCAATCATATGTCACGCAAATGTAGGCGGGATAAATTATGCACTGTGTCTGATTGTACCACTAAACACCATTTTCTTTTACACAATTGGTCCCCAAAGCGTCCCGATAATTCAATAACCCAACCTTCTGTTAATTGTGCGGCAGTTAATGGTTCATTTGCTAAAACCTGTCTAGGGATCATACCTATAACTGTAAAGGGTGGGAACGGTTACTCTTGCCAAACTTATGCTCTGCTCGACGATGGAGCAGACAAAACGCTTTGTGATGAAAGTCTTATACAGCAGTTGCATTTGACCAGCCGGCCTGTCACCTTCCAGATATCGACCATTAGCTCGACCGGAAGTACAACTTGTGGACAGGAAGTTGATCTTAGCGTTTGCCCAGTTTCTGGAAATGGTGAAATTAACCTTAACAATGTTTGGACGGTTAAACAGTTACCTATCTCTACCCGTTCTGCAGTGACAAGTGATGACATTATTGGCGTTCCATACTTGTCCGATTTACAAATTCCCAAAGTAAAGGCTAATGAAGTCCGGATTTTAATTGGTACAGATTTCCCCGAAGCACATATTCCACTTGAAGTGCGTTCTGGAAGCAGTCATCAGCCATATGCTGTAAGGACACGACTTGGTTTGGCAGTTCGTGGGCCAGTCCCTCGTCCTTTTGTTGAACAGAACAGAACAAAACATAACAGAGCAAATATAAACTTTGGTCATTCAAATGACATAATACTGCAACAACAGCTCGAGCGTATGTGGACGTCTGACTTCAACGATGTTAAATTCTGCGATAAAGAGTCAATGTCCATCGAAGATAAAAGAGCGTTGGACATTATGGAATCATCCCTTTCATATGTAGATGGTCACTATAAGATGGGATTACCTTGGCGTGCAGACGATATAAACTTACCAAATAATTTAGCATTAGCCTATGCACGTTTGAATCAACTTAAACACAAATTGTCTCGTGATAAATATTTACATGAAATGTACACCAAAACGGTTAGTGAGTACATTAATAAAGGTTATGCAAAAGAGGTAGATAATAACGGTACAAACTCTAAGCGCATATGGTACTTACCCCACCACCCTGTGATGAACGTTAACAAACCAGGAAAAGTTCGTGTGGTATTTGACTGTGCCGCGAAATACAACGATACTTCATTGAATGGCCAGCTCCTTCAAGGTCCAGATTTAATGAACAGTTTAGTAGGGGTACTTTTAAGATTTCGTGAGAAAAAGATAGCTCAGTCTGCTGATATAGAGGCTATGTTCCATCAAGTTCATGTGATTGAAGAAGACTGTCACGCACTCCGGTTCCTATGGTGGCCTGATGGGGACATGTCTGTACTTCCTAAAACTTACTGTATGCAGGTGCATCTGTTCGGTGCCACATCATCTCCTAGCTGTGCAGCTTATGCATTAAGAAGATCAGCCAGTGACAACGCGAATAAATTTCCAGATGAAGTTATAGAAACTGTTAAAAGAAACTTTTATGTCGATGATTGCCTGAAATCTGTAGATTCAGAAGAGAAAGCGACAAAGTTAGCAGCGGATTTACAGTCACTGATGAAAATGGGAGGTTTTAGACTTACAAAGTGGATCAGTAACAGTAGGTCAGTCATTGATACAATTCCCGATTATGAACGTGCACCAACGATTGTTAGCCTCAGTCCCGAAGATGAACTTCCTTATGATCGTGTATTAGGCATTAATTGGAACGTTAATGACGATTTCATCACATTCAAAATCAAGAAAACAAATAAACCTGTAACTAGACGCGGAATGCTTTCCATAGTTAGTGCGATATTTGATCCAATAGGACTTTTAGCACCAGTGACATTACGAGCAAAGGCTATCGTTCAAAGCTTGTGTAGAAGGAAATTTGGTTGGGATGAAGCAATTCCGCAAATTGATCACGATGAATGGCAACGTTGGATATCAAACTTACCTTGTTTGGAAAACGTTCGAATAAGCCGTTGTTTTCAACCAAAATATTTCAGTACTTTAAAAAATATACAGTTACACGTGTTCAGCGATGGTTCTGAGACGGGTTACGGCGCATGCGCATATTTACGCATTACTGACGAAAATGATAATACTGCATGTTGTTTAGTGCTTGGCAAGTCCCGACTCGCCCCCGATAAAACAAGCTTCGATACCGAGACTCGAACTGTGTGGAGCTGTTGTGTCATGCCGCCTGTATGCCATGCTGAAAGAAGAACTTGATTTGAAAATTGACAAAGTTGTTTTCTGGACAGATTCAATGATCATTCTTGGATACATAAATAACACTTCAAGACGTTTTAAAACTTTCGTCGGGAATAGAATTAGTTATATTCATGAAATGACGAGTCCAGAACAGTGGCACTACATCGACTCCAGTTCGAACCCCGCTGACATAGCATCAAGAGGCATAGATCCTGGCGATAAAACTAGCATTTCTTTCTGGCTAAATGGACCAGACTATCTGGCGCAGGATGAGTCTACTTGGCCTAAATTTGTAAACATAAACGATATCGCCGACGACGACTCCGAAATTAAAAGAGACGTAGCAATAAATACCACTGGGGTATACACTGGGCTGACTATAGGAGACATTGTCAACCATTATTCAGACTTGAACAGACTACTAAGAGCGTTTGCTTGGTTACAGAGGTTTGTGACATACTGCAGAAGTCAAAATAAAAATGAACAAAATTGTGGAGACCTCAAACTAGCTGAGATACAAACCGCTACTCATGAAATTGTTCGGTATGTACAGAAAATCAATTTCCAACAAGAAATAAAAGACTTATTGAAAGGCAACCCCGTAAAAAAGAACAGCAGATTAGCTATGCTTAACCCTGTGATGAAAAATGGACTCATCCGAATGTCTGGGAGACAAATTTACACTGACTATGAAAAAGCCCCTATAATTCTTCCCCACAATGATCACGTGACAGAGCTGATAATTCACAATAGCCATAGCAGCAATGGACATGTAGGATGGCAACACGTTCTAGCAGAAATACGGTCAAAATTTTGGATTTTACGTGGTCTAGTGCTGTTTAAAAAAGACCATAGGAAAATGCATTGCTTGTAAACGACAGAGAGGTCCATTACTCACTCAACAGATGGCGCCACTTATCCTAGAGCAGACGACACCTTGCAAACCACCGTTTACATTTGTCGGAGTGGACTACTTTGGACCATTGATGGTAAAATTAGGTCGATCTAGCGTTAAAAGATATGGTTGTCTGTTTTCTTGCTTGACAACGAGAGCAGTGCATATAGAAGTAGCCCATAGTTTGACAACAAATTCATTCATAGCTGCCTACCAGCGTTTTACATGCAGACGTGGACAACCAGAGAAAATGTTTAGTGACAACGGTACCAACTTAGTGAGTGGAGACAAAGAACTTAAGAAATCCTTAGAAGAGTGGAACCAGTCTAAGATCGGCAGATATCTGTTACAGAATAAGGTAGACTGGCACTTTAATCCACCATACGCGAGCAATATGGGTGGGGCATGGGAGAGAATGATAAGATCTACACGCACCATTTTGAAAGCTCTTGCCAAGGAACAACTTTTAACAGACGAGAAATTACTCACTTTCATCGCAGAAACAGAAAGAATTCTAAATGATAGACCAATCACTTCCGTGAGTAGCGACCCTAGAGATCTTCCAGCGCTCACACCAAATATGCTTCTTTTAATGAAAAGTAATGCGAGTATTTCAAGAGGTGTTTTTGAAAAAGAAGATGTATACAGTAAAAAATGGTGGAAACAGATACAATATTTGAGTGACGTATTCTGGAAAAGATGGATCAAAGAGTACCTACCTTCTCTTCAGAACCGAAAAAATGGCAGAGAGAAACAAGAAACATGAAAGTGAACGACATCGTACTTGTAGCAGACGATACAATTCCACGAGGGCAGTGGCCACTTGGCAGAGTAACTGAGGTTTTTAAGGGTAGGGATGGGCTTGTACGCAAATGCCTTGTCCGTATAAGAAATTCAAATGTCCTCAGACCAATAACAAAATTATGTCTTTTAGAAGGCACAGAGTAAATAATAGTTGCGTTAACATTTGTCAAAATACATTTACTGATGTACAAAAGCCTTCTTTAATTTTATTTTATTTATTTATTTATTTTTTTTACGCGTGGATTAGACATTTTAACAACCCAAAAAAGAATTTGCTATACTATAAAATGTATTGTTCTTCTTGCAAGAGCATGTTCTTACCATGACTAGATAGCGGTTGTAAATTATAATAATTGCAAAATTTAAATATTGCAATCTTTGATGATATTTATATTTGTGTCATGTTATACATTTTTCAAAATGATTACGTATATATGAGTATTGGTTGTTTTTTAAAATATTTATTTTTATTTTCATTTACAAAAAATATTAAGTATGTAGATTTATACATTTTTGATACATATACACAACGTTTTAGTATTAATTTTTTTTTTACTAGTTTTTCTTCTACATTATTTTCAAATCATATATATTTGATAAGTAAATTATTGATATTTTGAGAAAACAAAATTTGCTAAAGTGCTATTCTTATTTGATGAAATTAAGACATTTCATGGAGGGCACTGTAAGAATTATTAACATTCTTTAAATTTTAATTTGTTCACTTTTTGGCGCTAAAAGCTCTCGCGTCACGTTAACGTCGCCGCCTTTTTAGAGACGTCACGGACGGCAGAGTTTTCCGGAAGTTACATAAAAAGATTACAAACAAGTTTATTTTTGAAGACATTAACGGTAGCGATATTTGATGTAAAATATTATTATTACAGTAAATATTCAGGATTGAAGAAATTAATTAAATTGACAGGACACCATTGTTGAGAATCGCTACGCTACGCATAGCTACAATTATATGAACTTTGTAGATGTGAAATAAACGAAATTACAAGATTGCAGCGCATTTCTTACTTGGTTTTCTGAATCCGGAACACTACTGTTCCGATCTCCGGTGATATAGGTAAATGAACAATTAAAATAAAAATAAAATACAATACAGATAAATAAATAAATAGCTGATGATAAAACAAATATAGAAAGATGAACAGATAAATCAAATGAAAGAACGTAGCAAAACATGAAAGATTTCAAATAAGTTCGTCTTTGTAGATACTTTTTTATATTTTTTTTTATTTTTCCCATTTACGTATAATGTTCAATGGATATGTGCTTACTTTGCGGGTATCTTATTCAATTAAATCATTGAAAGAGGAAAATCAAATGTTATTTTGGTAAAATAAAAGTCACATTTTATCAACAAAGCGTAGTTAAATTGTTTGTTATATTATGTTCTTAAACAAGTGTTTAATGGTTGTAAAATGTAAAATCTGCCAGTAACAGTAAAAAAAATCTCGGTCAAAAGTTCAATTGATAACAACAACAACAACAACAACAACAACAACAACAAAAAACACTTGAATAATCTTGCAGATTCGGTTCATTGACAGTAGTTAAAGCTTGTGTCTACGCCCCATAGCATCAGCTTGAGCAGAATTAAATATTAAATTTAAAGATGGTGAAACTTTAAATTTATATAATCAGAAAATTGTCTCATATATATGGCTGTGATATATATATTTTCCGCCGGTTAAGTGAAGCGAATTAGGCGGTAAATAATTTCCTTTGCATTGGATAGATCTTTTGAATGTACCAATCAGAAGTTGTTTTGTTTAATTACGTATGCACGAGTTACTGTGCATTATGAATTGTAATTGAAAGTCATTCAGCTTTGGGTATCGATACTTTACAGTCGCAGTAATTTTTAACATGAATTTAACTTGTTGATTAACTAAAGTTCGGGGAAAATATGTTTACTAGTAACAATACGAATGCTTACATGTTTACGGTTATATATATATTGATATTAGTTGTTTGAATTGATACTGTATCATTTATGAAAGTGATGGATGCATTTATTAATAGATTTACTAGTATACTGGTATATGTTTATATATATGTTTGTTGAATTGTTATGGATTGTATCATCTTTACCCAAGTGCTCTTTACAATATATACAATATATTCAGAATTTTGGTTTTGTTGTTGTTCTATTTAGTTGATACAAATAGATTAGTAAAGGTCAAAGGAATAGAACCTTTATTATGTTGTTAATGGTAACTTATGAAACGAAATTCCGAAGGAGAGTCACAAGTTGTAAGCCTTAAAAACTTCTACAATTGCGAGAAAGAGATGTACAGTATATTAAACGACAATGTTATCACACTGGATTAATTGTCAACAAAAATGAAAAGTTCTATACAGTCTTTTCAATATAGAGTTACATTACGCCGTCATTAATGATTTTTATCCTCCGTCTCTTCTGACTCTCAATACGAGTTTCCAATTAATCAAAATTATTATTTTTGCCAATCACACACATAGCACGGATCGTACATATATATTTGTACAACTGTTTTTTCGGGCAGAAAATTTCAAAGGGTCGAACACTGACATCTCCTAATCTAATCTTCAATATTGAAGCAATGATTTTTTAACCGGCACTATCATCTAACATGTCAAAGTTGTTTTCCTATATAACGTGTTTCACATAGCGCAAATGTAGTAAGAAGACAGATTCCGTTTTCCTTAATTTGCGTTTTCATAGTCAATCTACATTCAATATACGAGGGGTTATCCAAAAATTCGTGGACTTTTTAAATATCTCTTGAAAGTCAACGTGTATTTTAATGAAAATTTATCAGCATACATTGTAGAATATTATCAACACATTTTGAAAGGAACAGTTGATTGTGTCAATAAATAATGATTTTATATTGCTTTTAAATATGCACATACACGGCATCCGGCGCACGGTAGAAAAGCGCAGTAAGTCATCGTATATTTCTTGCCAAAAAACTAAACATTTAACGTAGAAAACCCGCTGAAGATCGCATGTTTCTTCTATGATGTCATTTAAGTAATTCTTTAAAATAATGGACGTCATTTCCGTTCTTTCTTTTTTTGATATCGCTGGAAACGCCAGACGCCATTATTGTTTGCAACGGGAATATGACGGACACGCGGTAATTTGAAAATCGCACGATCATAAACAATCATAAATTGTTGTTGTAATTTGGAAATGACACCTACAAAAGCATTTAATAAAAATCAGCAGACGAACAGAGAAAAGAAAATTTCACGATCATTAGTGTTAAAGTGGCATGAAATATTTAGTGATGGACATTACTTAGAGAAGCCGTAACCG